GGTCGGACATCCTCCCCGGCAGTCTGTCCGAGCCCGAACGCCAAAAACAGCAAAAAAAAAGAACTAGAAAAAAAATCCGGAAAAAAACTATGTTATGCAGAAAAATAAACTGAACAACTTTTGCCTTGGGATGACATCGAAATTCGTTATCAAATTTAAAATAATAAATTCAATTAAAGACACCCCCAATTTTTTTTGATTTTTTTGGTGCTTTTAACTGCTAAAAATGGGGTTGTTCGGGCCCCTACGTCCTGGAACCCCCGACTGTCCGGCCATCGGACGACTGGTAACAAAGATTATTTTTATTTTCCTTTTTTAATGAATATTATTATCATATATCTTTTAATGAATGTTCCATTCAGAAATTTACTGCAAGAATTTGATTGGTTGATGGATGGGATACTGATTAGAAATTCAGAAAAAGGAAAATAAAAATAATCTATGTTACCAATCCATAGCTGACGGGTGTATATACACAGCTATACTGCGCGTGCGTTCTATTCGGGTGAGGAAGATGGTAGGATTCCCTGAAGTAGGGGGTAGGATAAGTCGTCGCGGGGATTTGTGATCGATTTGGTGATTGGGCGAGAGAGCAATAAATCAACAAATAAAAAGTGAACAAAAAAAAAAACCGGCTTGGATTGATTTAGTTCGCTTGTGATTCATTTGTTGATTGGGCAAGAGAAAAACCTATTAGAATTTTAAAAATAAAATACAAAAAAACCGGCTCAGACTGGTTCAGTTGGCCCTTGCCGCCTTGTTCCCACCTCTTCTCTTCCCCCTCATTATCTCGCACGCGATGTCCTCTCTCTCTCTCTCTCTCTCTCTGAGCTTCATCAAAGGTCCATGCCTCAAAGTCAAGATACAGTGATAATGACCGTGCACTCTATCCGCTGAAGGGCGGTAGAAAGCGCACGCGAGGAGAAACACACACAGCTCCCGCCGTCCCCTCGAACACAACGCACCCTGACCATCCATGTATACAAGCCATCTTTTCCGGTTCGATATGGTCATGATGAGTATGCGTTGCGTTGGGCGAAATCCTCGACAGCCAGCCAGCCAGACAGGCAGACACAGAGAGAGAGAGAGAGAGAGAGAGAGAGAGAGAGAGAGAGAGAGAGAGAGAGAGAGAGAGAGAGAGAATGGCTTCACTCACCTCCGAGAGAGGAGGAGGGGCCTGGGGGTTGGCGCGGGGACAGAAAGAGCAACTCTCGCCTCGTGGGGTGGGGTAGAGCACTCACCCGAATTCAAACTCAAGTCGGGCAGTCGCGGCGCTCTGCCACTGCGTGCGAATGCGAAAGGAACTGCTCTTGAGCCTCAAGCCCCGCCCAATGCTTCATTCTTTCAACATTGCGGACCTAAGCTCACCGCCGACAGCTTCATCATTCGATTCCATCGATCGAAGTCCGGTCCTCACAACTCCACGGTCGTTCGGGAAAAAAATCCTTGACTGCTCCCAAGGCATTGTGAACCCCTTCACACCCCACTTTTTACCCGTAACCGGCCGGGGCAGAAAAGGCCAGCCTTGGGTATGGCAAGGGGAAATCAGCAGGGAGAAAGATGCATTGGTTACCGTACGGAACGCAGCCCTACGGGTTTCTCTTTGGTTGGGTTGTGTCCTCATTTTGCAGATTGTGGAGACATTTGGGCGGGTAGATGCCTCTCTTTCTCTCTCTCTCTTTGGTTGTGTTGTGTCCTCATTTTGC